GAGAGCATGGCACCTTGGCTTTGGAGGCCCCATCTGTGCTGTCCCAGTCCCGTTCTCTAACAGGCTTGGACGGAGACCTCTCAGTGTCCTCCTTGGGATACACAGTGACACTTCGTCCCCCACTCCCCTCGAAACGTCTCCGTGCAGAAGATACTAGCTGAGGGGATCCAGAAACGGGTGAACTACTCTCTGAGCCACTAGGAGAGGTGTGATGATTGCTCATGGAAGACTGGACATTTTGGAAGACCTTACTGTGTGAAGAACCGGCTTGCGGAGATACTGGGAATTTTAGCACCACATCTGGCTTGGGTCTGGAGCTTGGCCTGATAGGACTGGAATCCAAGTCCAGGAGGTTTTCTGTGCTGCGTGACTTGGGCTGCAGCTTGCCATAATTCCTGTCAAATTTCTGTAGCATGCGACTCACCCTGCCTTGCCCCTCCAGCGGGGAGGAAGCCGGTCGTCCCAGCGTGCTGAGGTTCTCCTCGCTTTTACTAAGTGCAGTATCATAAATGACCACTTCCTTCGCGCGTATCTCAGTAACCGGACTACCTCTTCGGTCCAACAGGTCATTGAGAGAGCTATATCCGCTCACCGTGCCGTTCTGCTGCAGTTTCGATGCATGTTTCAAACCACATCGTTCCGAAAAGTACTCCGGGTCGGATTCAATGATGATGATATTCTCAGCGCGTATAGTCCGTATCCCGGGAACGCTGCCGTATAACTCGAGGATGTGCTGAACAGGTCGCGCGGCGTTCTCTTGGCTCTGACGCTTCTTGCGTTCTTTTTCCAGTTTAATGAATGGGTTTTCCTGCAGCGGACCCAAGCTCTCTTGCAATACCAGGCTCTCCTGCGCTCTGTTGTCTCTCGCCGTTCTCTCCTCCGTGCGGCTCGGGTCCGAGGATGGCCAGTGCTCTTTTGTTTTCACCGGTGACAGATCCGGGCTTTTGGTCGCGCGCTTGGCAGCGGTAATGGTAGAGTTCATGCTAGAATGTGCGCCGGTGATATCATCCTTGCTTTTGCTGCCCGTTACCTCGCCGTTAAGTCGAGATGCGACGGACTCGGCACCTGCTCCGCCGCCCTTCGCCTTTCTCCGCTCAAGGATCTCGCGTTTCCAGGCCGGCATCCTCGGGCTCTCCTGCCCTGGCTCTTGGCGAAGAACGCGAAGATCCCCGCCCGACATTATGGGAGAAACGGGTTTTATAGGGATACGTGTGAAACCAAATAATCTCTCGCTGTACCTGCAGCGCAGCGCCTCTTCTTACTCGTACTCGTGCATCATTGCAGCCTCAACAATGTATCCTGCATGATGATGATGTGCCAGTCTACCGACACGACCCCGCCCTCGGAAAGTGACGTCAGATTTTCGTCTCAGGGTGGACACCTCATTTGGTCATTTTGACTTGAGGCACACCTTTTGTTTCAAGATATGCCCCGCCCCCTACTTTTTACTATTGTGACAATTAAAACGAGCCCTGTCAGTCAAACACAGCGAGTCCCGCCCATTTCATATCTTTAACCCTTTCATTATTTAGGAATGGTTTATGTCAGGGGTCACCGAGTTTGGTGAGCTCTGGTTTATGTTATGAATTGGCAAAACAGCGAGCTGTTTGGAGCAAGAATAAAATATTCATTTCTTGTGTGCTTGTGCACACTTGGCAAATAAAAAATAATTCTGAATTTAATAAATTATCTAGCCTATTTTAAATGTTGTATTATAATAATATAGATAATATGTAAATTGCAATAAATTTTACATAATGGTTTCATAAGAAATAAAATGTAAGAAAACTGAATTAAATTTTAAAATATTGTAAAGCTGTACTGTTTAGTAAAATATTACTATATTAAAGAATTTAACATCTTTGTTAATAATACTGTCGAAAGCAACAAATACGAAGGTGACTGAGAGTTGAAATGTTCCCTCGACCATGGCGTGGTGCAACTACTATATTTGTCACTCTCATAATCCAGTTTTAATCAGATTAATTAAAGGGCACAGAAGTAAAGATTATAGCAAGACATCATAAGTACAGAGCGTCAAGTTATTTAGACTTTGGTTATCCAATACATGGCTGTAGCCTATTATGCACCTGGGCATTCTGTAAATTTAGATAACCTCATAATCAGGGAGGGACAGCAGGGAAAAAAAATGTTCATTTAAGATATGGGTGTACGACCTTTAGTACAGTTGTTGCCATTTACAGCCACAATGGAATGCATGTCCACTTAGACATTTCATTATTTCAAAAATGTCTAAACGTGTTCAAGGAAATTATTTTATGCTATCATAAACCAAGTGCAAAGTCCAAAAATAACATGGCTTATTATTAACAGTAACACAGCCTTGCTAACAGAAAATAAAGAAATGTTTTCTGTTTCTAATATCTTTTATATAGTCATATATAAGTAATAGGAAGGTTGTTTACTAGATGTCCTTTATCCTTTTGGTTTAATATCATATTAATATTATCCTTTTGATTTAATCTTATATATTTAATATAGATGTCATTTATACCTTTAGTTTAAGATAGGATATTGTTTTCACTTTAACAGTTAATTTTAATTAGAGCTTATTTCTCTTTAGAAGTTATATATTTTAGAAAACGTTTCACTACATCCGTAAGGGTAATAAATCTGAAACTAGCTGCTCTTTAATTATATAATTGCACCCCAAACATCATAAAAACTATTTGTAAATGTATACTTAATTAAATTGCATGGTTTGTCCTGAGTGGAGCTCCTATAATGAGACAAATAAGAAATTGCAGGTTTAATTAAAACTGTAGTGCCATCTAGTGATTATTATAGGACGTACATTTTTTTTTTTTTACACATCAGCTTACTTTTAATTTTCCTCTCAAAAACATCAAACATCTTACTAACTTTTCTAAATAAATAAATACATTTAGGTCACTTCAAGGCATGGTCATAACAAACCAAGGAAGATCAAGAGTGTTGAATGTTGATGGTTTATTTACAACTGTACAAATAACAATAAAAGGTAATAACACAGATAAAGCAACATTATTGACAGTATTCAGAAAAAATCAAGACCAAATATCTCAAAGCACTTAAAGACAATAATAATGATCAAAATCAGCACATTTTATAACATTGTTTATGATGCCATGTTCACATGCTTGAACCATTTGAATACAAAAAAAAAAAAAGTTCACAATGATTTTGCAGTTCACAACGATTCACTCCTGGTTTGAATGACACCTGCAGGAGTCCTTTTCATTCACTTAAGTCCACTGGCATGTGTGCAGATGGTTTGTCCTTTAATTGACACGACAAGCACGAATCATGAGCAGCTGCAGAAGGATGAAAAGTGGGGAAACTATAAGCCCGAACCACAAATCACTTGCCTGGTCCTGTTCGGCCAATTTCTGGCATAGCAGCACCTCACACACCAGCTTGAGGCTGAGCACAGTCAGCACCCACAGCAAGCGCAGCACTGCCAGCCGCTTTTCTCCTTCTTGATAGAGGCGGATGGATACAATAGCTGTGAAGTAAGTGCTGAGGCCATCAGCAGCAAACAAGGGTGAGAAGACAAGCCACCAGCTCATCTTTAGAATCTGCTTGTCCACGTCCATGTGTAGGGCCACCAGCACGCTGAAGACCAGCAGCGCGCCCAAGTGGAGGAACAGCTCGAATGTGGCAAAGCCCAGCCATTGCACCAGCTCTCGCAGGGAGAACAGCATTATTAATGGGACACCACTTAGTGTTGTTTACTGGGGAGACTGAGATCAAAACACTGGCCTAAGAAACTGGGAGTGAAGAGAAGCATTTAATAGGTATTCAAGTCTATGAAAAATCCTCCACTGAGGAGTGTTTCACTATTTTGGCAGCATCATGCTCTTTCTGAGATGGACCAGGTCCACCTTCTGACTTCTGATGCATTTGACTCTCTGTCAAAACCTGGAAAAGGAAGAAAAAGACCTCATTATCAAGACCAAAAACAATGCAACTACAATTCAAGTTTGAAAATCATTGTATGGTACAATTGTACACTGATGAAGTCGCATTGTCCAGAAACATGGTTGACTGTATTCTGTGACTATATGATTAACATTTAAATCAATACAGACGTCATTAAGGCCCATTTCACTATCCCCAACATCATATCTATTGTATCCTTAATATACATCATAATCCAGGTTAACACTGTGCAGATAAACATGTTATTAGTCAATTGCCGTCCATCATTTTGCGGAATTGAACGTGTAACGTTAAGTGTAAACAAGCGAGCTGTCAATTAGCATATGATGACGAGTACTAAATGTGCCTATAATTTACTGAAAAAAACATTTTACCTGACAGATATCGTTCGCAGTGATGGTTGAAGACAAATATATTACCGCAAGCTACATTTTTAAAGGGTCATTAATGAACGGGTGGGTTGACAGCGGTGGATAAGCAGCTGTAATGAACACAAGCTAGCTGAGATGAGCTATTTACCTTCCAATAGTAGCCCGGGGAAATATCGCGAGATCTCAAATTCGAGTCGAGAGAAATATCGTGAGATCCTCATTTTCTACGGAGACCGAGAGGCAAAAAGAGTAATGAAATCACAGAAAAGGGTTACGCGCCAGAATGACTACTAGCATGAAACTGAGGAATGATACAATGGGCGGGGCTTATCTGTCCCAGGTTCTTTTAGTTAGGCACTCATTATAAACATACATGTTCATATTTCTAACTCTGTATGTTCTATTCTCTGGCTGAATAGTTTCTATGAAGCATCATTCAAGTTCTCCCCTAAAAAAAAAAAAAAAAACTTAGACAGCGCTATCACGTGGTCCCTGTTACTTTACTCCGCGCTGTTTAGGGTTGCTGGTGTGATTTGATGATAAAGATTGAACATTATATAAAGCTTGCAGGAAGATTTTTTATTTATATCTCAGGAACAAGAGCATGACATTTAAATATTTACCAAATAATACTTTAAAACGTATTGAAATTTGATTGTAGGTAGATGAAGATTTTGCCTTCCTGAGCCACCAAGCGCCTCCTGGAGGAAATACTAGTTTCGTCGAAGACAGCTTGCAACATTTTCCTCTGAATGAAATGCACGTGCGTTTGAGGTTCGAGGAGCAACACTTTAGTTAGCAAGATCTGGGTCATTTACGGTTTCCCATTAGCGGTGACTAAGCACGAAGTAAGTTCTTCTCAGTTGTATAATTTCACATGCTGTCTGTCATCTATGAAATGCTTGAATTATTATGCCTTTTACAAGCTTCAGGTTCCTGTAACATTTACATTATACAGTATTATGCAGTGTTAAGGACGATCACTATTAGCTAAGAGAAACCTGTCAAAAAATGTTTCGTATCAGTATCGTTTCGAGGAGCAACACTTTAGTTAGCAAGATCTGGGTCATTTACGGTTGCCCATTAGCGGTGACTAAGCACGAAGTAAGTTCTTCTCAGTTGTATAATTTCACATGCTGTCTGTCATCTATGAAATGCTTGAATTATTATGCCTTTTACAAGCTTCAGGTTTCTGTAACATTTACATTATACGGTATTATGCAGTGTTAAGGACGATCACTATTAGCTAAGAGAAACCTGTCAAAAAATGTTTGTATCAGTATCGTTAGAGATGTTAGACCAAGAGTGTAATGGAAGTACTGCTTCTTAAAGTTTTTGAAACGATTGTTTAGCCTAACTGTTTCATGATTATTGACATTTCAGCACTTATGGGAAATTAGTCATGAGTTGACCTAATGAAATATGCATGCTTATTAAGGTCTCCTGCTTAACCATTACATTACAATGTTTAATTTACATAAATCCATTATTAGTGTACTTTTACACTCACTGGTGTCAGATTGGTGCTGTAGTTTACATCCAAACTTCAAAACACTTAAAAGTATACCATGTACTGTACATATCATTTTTGTTTGAGTAGGTAATTGATTGACCGTATATAATTTTTATGTGCAAAATAAGATTTTCCTTATGGTTTCTTAAACAGGTGAATGAATGTTTCTTGTCTGCAAAAAGAGAGAATTTCTGCATGCTTGCGTCTGTTGTATGGCTAGAATATGAATCATTTAAAAAAAAAAGTTTTTAATTGATTTTTACCCAAATTAATAGTTTATTTTTAATAATGTAAAAGTCTAAATAAAAATAATGATTTAATAATTTTAGTCTTTAATAATTATTATTTTATAATTATTTTTTAAAAGATGTCTAAATGTATAAAAAAAAATATTAGTTTTACTTCCAGAAAATAAAATATTAAATATAGTGATATTTTATTATTTATTTTTTTTTAAGCAAGAGAAAAATCTACTCAGTTTCACATATTGTGTTTTAGGGATTTTTTTTATCTTTTCTGGGGCCGTATGTATCAAGCTTCTCAAAGTGCCATTTTAGTCTTAAGTGCTGAGAATTCATTAAAGGGATAGTTCACCCAAAAATTTGATGTTTATCTGCTTACCCCCAGGGCATCCAAGATGTAGGTGACTTTGTTTCTTCAGTAGAACACAAACTGAGATTTTTAATTCAAACCATTGCAATCTGTCAGTCCTATAATGTCAGTGGATGGGAATCACGGCTTTGAGAGTCATAAAACATACACGAACAAAACCAAATTAAACCCTGCGGCTCGTGATGATACATTGATGTGTAAAGACACGAAACGATCGGTCTGTGCAAGAAACTGAACAGTATTTATATCGTTTTTTACCTCTGATTTTCACCGCAATGTCTGAACTGTCCTGAGCGTCTTCTTCTTTTTCATTTTTGGCCTACTTTCAAACTTAAGTATAAAAGCAAGTTATCAAATTTCTTATAGCTAAGAATCACTCTTACTCGCCCAGTTATTTAAGGCAGCTCGAGAGGTCTCTCAAGTGGTTAGGAGTTGCCAGTAGGGGCTTGTGATGGCGCTGAGGAGACAGAGATGTGCGCGAATCTTTCAGGAGAGGAAGAATGTTCTTGAAATGTTTGACGACGAGCAGTTAATAAAAGTTACATTTCCTCAGTTATTCAAACAGAAACGAGCAAAGAATATTTACATTACCAAAAAACGTCAAAACTGACTTCAGTCTAGCGCGAGTATAATGCTCTTTAAAAACACTCCCGTTATAATCAGTGAAGCTACCTACACTGTATCAATAAATCTCTTACCCCTTATTTACACTGCACCCGTCTGCGTCTATATTTTTGACAGATAATAATAATAATAATCATCTTGCTGTCGTCAAAGAAATCAGCAGGCGATATCTCTGACTCTGACTATCGTCTACCGGCACAACCCTAAATTGAAGGTTGTGATGACGATTCGTTTCCTTTCCATAATGTATTCTCTTAAAAATTCTTTATTGTCAAATGTGTGTTGAATGTAAACTCCTATTAGGAATTTAACCATTCAATGTGACTTTATCTGAGAATAATCTTAAATAAGGAAATCTATTCAGTGATTGGTCCATGCGTATTTCGTCATCCAAAATCCAGTTTGTGGCACAGCAAAGTGTCGTGAATCAACTCTAAGACTGACACTTAAGATTTAGCCCTACACTTCGCTTAAATTACCAGTGAGATGCTTGATAACTAACTTTTAAGCGCAGCTTTGAGACAAGAATTTTTTTACACTTAAGTCAATTCTCAGCAGCGTTCTTGAGAGTAATTCTAAGAGGCTTGATAAATATGGGCCTTGGTAAATAAGACTGGGAAAGAAACTGATTAATATTTTTTTTTCTGTAGCGTATGTAGCTAGCCTATGATTCATAATTCTGCAGTTACGTAGATTGTGTCAGTAAGTGTTTGTCTTCCATTTGAATCTACAGGACAATGACACAGCCGACAGACTCTGTTCTACACAGCGGTTACTTTCACCCCACTCTCCGATACTGGCAGACCTGTGCTTCAGACCTTAGACCAGATAACCTCATTTATCCTGTCTTCATTACGTAATGTCTTCTCTCTATATATAATTTTTATTTTTTTTTGATGATGGTATATAGGTTCAGGAGTTATGTTATTGTTTAAAGTTTCTGTTTGTCAGTTTGTATGTTTGAATTATTATGTCTCTCTCTCTAACTGATTTTAACAGTGACAGTCCTGATGCAGTGGAACCAATTGCAAGTCTACCTGGTCAAGCAAGGTATCCTTCTTCACTGTCAACAAACATATTCTCTCATCTTAGACGTTTTTAGTTTACAGTGTTACTTCCTGTTTTGTGTCCATTCAGTCTAATTGAGTACTACTACTTCTGTAACTATCTGTTACCATAGTTACAATTCTTTAATGGATTACTAATGGAGTTTAATGTGTATAAGACTTGACTGTTATGATCTGTTTAAATCATTTAAAAGAAAATTGGCACTGTACAAAATAATGTTGTTGTTTTTTTTTTTTAACAAAGTATCAATAGTTCTTTAACCTTTAGAAAGTGTTGTTTGTCCAGCTCAGGACATTAAACTCTATTATAAAAATTTGGCACATAGTGGGAATACTGTTTAAAATACACATTAAATAAACATAGGAATTAAATAAATATACAAATTAGGTTAAAGGCTCTAATAAAATTAAAATCTAATAGAATTTTAACTTAAATTAAGCTGTCACTCGATAGGGGGTAGCTAGTTTTGGACCAGAGGTTGATTTGTAGTTATTGATAAACTTATGTTTTTGTATATACAGTACAATTTATATCCCATTAATTAATTCATATTAATTCATATATTAGTTTAATCATTTCTTTTTCAGTTATCTTAATTTTGATATTTTGAATAAGGTTTGCACTACAAACAGTAAGAGACTATAGGGAAGACTATGGACAATATGTGAACATTTTTTAAATGTTCAAGATGTGTATGATTGATATAACAAAGATGGAGTATGCATGTCAAGTTTGGGCTGGTGGTCTGAGATAAGATTCAGGCAGGGTGGAGCTGGAGCTAGCCAACAAAGCACAGAGATAAACCAAGGATCCGTTTATTCTGGGTAGTTTAGTCCCCTTTGCATTGCATTAGTGGTCAGTGTGAGGTCTGTTTATTTTGTCATGTACTGTAATATAGATTGTGAAATACTATCATTATTGCATACTTTTTTAAAACTTACTACTATGTGAAACAATGCACATTATGCAGCAATTACCATTTAGTAATAAGCAACAATATGCATTCAAATGTGTTTTAAAAAATGTATGAACTATTGGCAGTCTGATCAAATAATTTGCTAAATTGTGACTTGCATCAAAGACCATGCATACAAAAATGGTTCATCCATATTACTGTGAATAGGAAAAACTGCAACGCCCAATATGGCAGCTCTAGTAAAGGATGTCCCATTTTCTATCTAAGTCATCATGTCATCACAGCTGCTATTAGAAGAAAGCGGGTAATATCCTGAAATTTGTGCTTAGGAATGCAAATAGCCCTGGTGTATCATGCATAGAAAAAAGGAATGCCAATGTTTTGTTAAGATGTCTTAGTCAAGATATGACATATGATGTTTTTTGTGTCTATTTCAGATATGGTGTTAATAAGATAGAGGGTGTACTTCGTCCCCTTGTGGATAAAGGCCTGAAGTGTGTGCTGATTTTTGGAGTTCCTGCAAAAGTTGCGAAGGTCGGTGAGAAGTTAAATGATTTCAAAATATTGCTGTCAATAATTTAAGTCATAGTATGTAATGAAGATGTGATTAAATCATCAAAATAGATCATCAAATAGACATTATAAAAAGTATCTTTAGAAAGAAATATTTTATTTGATTCAACATAGAATTTATTACTTACATTTTAGACTACAACGCTCATGATTTTTTATTTTTTTCAGAAGCTGCATCTGAATCGGTATTTAGATATAGTTACAGACCGTAAATTGCAGCATAGATGTAGCATGAATGCATTTACACTGCAATTACAATTTCTCAGTAACTGTAACTAATTACAATTACTTTTATTTTGTAATTAAATTATGTAATTTCGTTACATGTAACTAGTTACTCCCCAACACTGTAAATAATGTAGTGAGATTAGTGGGGTTTAAATGGGTATTAAAGGGATAGTTCATCCAAAAATTTAATTCTGTTGGCATTTACTTTTGTCTTTTCAGACCTGTATAACTTTCTTCTATGGACCATAAAAGATCATTTGAGAAATGTCTCAGTATTTTTTATTTTTATTTTTTTCATACAATGAAAGTCAATGGTAACCAAAATAATTTGGTTACCAACATTCTTTCAAATATCTTCACATTTCTAACCGGCATGCATTTCGCTGTGATGAATGGTTCTGCACAGATTTTGCTTATGTCAAACGAGCCTTATGTCAAACGCGGGTACAGCATACTTATATATTTTCCATAGTGAAATGCAGCATGCATTTGAGGGATGCTGTGATGCTTTTAACTCAATGAGAGTGAAATAGTGTCTTCCCCTCTACTCCGCAGCATTTTTCAAAACTGTGGTGAGAACTAACCGGTGCTGAAACAGAGGGATTCATGACCCTTTAAATGTATTAATAATTTTAATGGAGATGCACCGATACCACTTTTTTCAGAACGAGTCCGATACCGATACTTTCATTTTTGGTACTCGCCGATACCGATACCTGTATTTTTTTACAGCATTTGAATTTTTTTTTAAATATTGGGTACAGAAACAAAATAATAATAATAGTATGAATCATGTTAGTTGGCTTCATTTAGCAAACAGATATTTCCTTCAGTTATTTACACACTTAATTATACCTGTTAAAATGTATTGTAGAAGCTTTTGTTACTTTCACTGTTCATTTTAATGGCGCATTAGAGCAGCTCAATACTGTAATCATAAGAAGTTTTCCTAAAATAATGCAGGGAACCACTCGTTATACATTATACGAGTACGCGCGTACAATTTTGGTGATGTAATTTGCGTCAGATGAACTGTATGCTGACCCTCGTGTAGGAGTAAAAAGTATACTTTGGCCTTTAAAGCAAGCTAAACATGCGCAGTGCGCACACGTTTGTATTAGTGCAGAATGAGAGAGACACTTATAGCCTAGCGCATTTCACACTGCTGATTTCATTTTTGCTTTAAATAAAGTTGTGTAAGCTTGACGTTTAAAATAAATGTTGTTTATAGTGATTGCCCCTATCATTATTGTTTGTTTTATATTTACGATTTAGTTTTAATCCAAATGCATGCACCAATGGAGCGAACAGCAATCAAGATCATGCAACAGAAGTGCACGCTCTCTATCTCTCTCTCTCTCTCTCTCTCTCTCTCTCTCTCCTTACCGTCAAATAACTTTAGTAACTTGTGCATTGTTTTACTTACTTGCTTTTAACTTATCCGACCGAACTTCAAACTTTCCAGTGATGTCTGTGAGATATTCACTCGACAAGCTCGCGCATCTGTGCCACCGTGCGCTCAATCCACTCAGCGCGCTCTGCTTATCAGCTCGCACACATCCACTATACAGGCGTGAATATTGAATGTTTAACATTATATTAATTACTTACATGTACTTCATAGACATCCTTAATCTCTAATAACTCCATTCTACTCTTTGTTGTTCTGTTGTCGGTGTTTCTTTTTCTGGACACAGGTATCGGCTTTTGGTATCGGGGCATTTTTATGAGTACGAGTACAAGTACAGGAGCGCAGTATCGGGCCCGATACCGATACCAGTATCGGTATCGGTGCATCCCTAAATTTTTATGTTATTTTTTCCATAACTAATTAAATGAATGAACTAAATCATTAAATTAGCGCATTCAGTTGACAGCCCTTGATTAAATGTTGTTTTCTTATCTTCTTGTTTGTTTTCTCAGGATGAGAGAGGCTCTGGGGCAGACACAGATGACACACCTGCAGTGCTGGCTGTGAAGAAACTGAGGAGCACATTCCCTGATCTTGTGTTGGCCTGTGATGTGTGCCTTTGCCCCTACACCTCTCATGGCCACTGTGGTTAGTTTCAGTACTGGATCTGTTTACATAATTGTTTTTATTTTTTTACATTTTTAATTGAAATTTCAGATACTGATAAACCAATAATTATTTTGATGTTATGGCTCACAACCAAAAAATGGATATTAAAATTCTGTTCTACTTGTCACAGTAAATGAAAATTAAAACATTAAAAACTAAAATACATCAGGTGAATTTAGGCATAAAAACATAATGTACAGTATGAAAAATTATATATATTAATTTTAAGATTTTCTAAAAATAAATTTAAACTGTTATTAAATTATTATTATTAATAATTAAGGGAATGTTTGATCATGGCAAAGGCAATCTAAATGTAAAAATAGGAGAAATTAACATTAATAATTTAAATATTCAATATCAACTGATAAAAAAAATCTTTAATATTGGCTGATAACAATATGTTACTGATATACAGTATTGTGCCGATCTAAACAAATAATACTTCTGACAAAACACTTAAAATGTCCTTTCACATGAGATGAAGACTCCCTATAATGGTGGCTGCCATGTTGAGATCACATGACCATCTGAACACTACTTGATTATAATTTCTTTTTTTCATTCGCAATGACATTTTTAACCAATTACATTTTGAAGCATTACTTAAGCATGATGCTGCATCCATGCCAATAGGTGTCCGTATCAAGCCCAAGACCACTGTTGTAACTACCAGTGAAACAGCAAATGACACCTTTAAACATAAACAAATAATTAATAATTAGTGTATGAGTTGTGACTTTCTCTGTGGCACCTTTAAGGAATCCTGCGTGAAGATGGCAGCTTGGATAATGCTGCAAGCTGTTTGAGGTTGGCTGAAGTAGCTCTGGCTTATGCTCGAGCAGGTTTGTCCTAAATTCGATATATCTGTAGCCAATTACACATAGTATGTGCATTTTTGAATAATAGTTCTACAGAAGTCATCTTTCTCGCATTAGGTCACACTTTTTCTCCCCCCAGGCTGCCATATTATCGCTCCTTCAGATATGATGGATGGACGAATTGCAGCCATTAAGCAAGCACTAATCGCCAATGATTTTGGCAACAAGGTTGAGAGAAATCACACTTCTGGGAGCAAACAATAGAGTTAAATCAAATAACAGCAGATACTGACTCAATCTCTTTTTCCTTTCTTAGGTGTCAGTGCTGAGCTACAGTGCTAAATTTGCCTCTTGCTACTATGGGCCATTCAGGTAGTGTACTTCTAATGATTCCCTTTAGAGTACAATAGTGGACCTTCTTAGTAGTTTTTATAAACTTAAAGATAATGAAAACACCAGGATGAGTTTATTCTTTGTAAACCACATTTTCTCTTTACTTTACATTTGAAGAGATGCTGCTCAATCTAAACCTGCTTTTGGAGACAGACGATGTTATCAGCTTCCCCCGGGTGCCCGAGGACTAGCACTGCGGGCCTGTGTAAGAGAATATCACTGAAATGAAATCGACAAACACGTTTTCTTTCCAGTGTTAACACATTTCCTTTGAAACATGATCTTGTTGAAAGGTCCCTTTAAACATGTAATCTGAACTACTATAATAGTACTGATGTAGCAATCTAGGACCCTACATTTTGACTGCAGAAATGGGCACTTTGACTAGACCTGTGGCAGTTTTTCTATTGTATGGGATGCTCCAAGTGAAGTATTAGAATATATGGTTTTGATTCTTTGCTGGTAGGACCGGGATGTGAAAGAAGGTGCTGACATGCTGATGGTGAAACCTGGATTACCATACCTTGATATTGTGAGAGAGGTTAAGAATAAGGTAATAACTTTTTTGCCACTTCATCATATATTCAGATATAATTTTCTTCATGCTCAGAAAATCTTTGTAGAAAATACATTGTAAAAATTTAAAGCAGTGCCAAAAAGTATTTGGACACTTTGGATATTCCACCCAAAAATAAAAATACTCTCATCATTTACTCACCATCATGCCAAGATATATATGACTTTTTTCTGAAGATGAACACAAACAAAGATTTCAAAAACCACACAAAGCAAACAAGACTTCCACGTCACTCGTCTCATACAAGCTTCAGAAAGCATTTATGTCACACTTCACAATGTGCTGATGTTTACATCAATCATGAACTCATGAGCCTGCGTATGACCGTTGACCTGAAGCAGTGCTTTATAGTTAAAAGTGTTAAAAATATGAGTATTTTTTCTCACAAAAGCCTATCATTTTGCTTTGGAAGACACTGATTCATCAACTGGGGTCACATGGATTACGGTCATGTTTGTTTTGTGTGGTTTTTGAATCATCATCTTTGGAGATCCCGTATACTGATTTTTTTTTGGGGGTTGTAAAATCCCTTTAATGCATTCTTAAAAATGTATGAGTGTCTTTGCACTCTGCAAGTCATCTCATCTGAATCAGGAGAGACATGCACAGATCAAGCATGTTTTAAAAGCAAAAACAGTTCTATATCTAGTACAAATATGTCTGATATTTTGATGTTAGCGGACAAAAGGGGATAGACGTTTTCACTGGAGGAAGTGTTATTAGCGTATTATGGACTAATGATTAATTTTTTTGTTACAAACATGCAGCTTTTCACTTTACAAGACATCAGTTGTTGGACTGGAGTTGTGACAGTTAATCAGCTATTTGGATTCTCATTTCTCTAAATCTCTTCTGATGAAGAAACAAACATATTTAAATCTTTAATGGCCTGATGGGAGTAAATTTCCATCAAATTTTCATTTTTGGCTGAACTATTTCTTTAAGCTTGCTTTAAACTGCCAGGAAAGTATGTTGGAGAAGATTGGAACTGAACTCTTCCGAACAGTGGCCCTCCAAAAACAAAGTGTTTCAAAGCACCCCAAACAATTTGCAGCAAAAACTAAACGATGTAATTTATAAAGTGAGTCTATTGTTTCTGCTAATCTTAATACCTTTGTATTCTCTGATTCCCATCAGCACCCTACTCATCCGCTGGCAGTGTACAATGTATCAGGCGAGTTTGCCATGTTGTGGCATGGAGCTGAAGCTGGAGCTTTTGACCTGCGCACTGCAGTTATGGAGGCTATGACTGCCTTCCGTCGAGCAGGTGAGAAGGAGGACATGGAAGATAAAGTACATTTTTGTTAATCTGTTGAGGCCATGTTCTCCTAAATTGTATAAATATAAAGATTGTAGTGCTTTTGGGCAAGACCTTGGTGTCTTTTACATCTTCTTTTTTAATGCCTCAAAAACAGATGATATTTCATCGCACTATTTTCTTTCTTTCAGGAGCTGACATCATTATCACCTACTACACTCCACAATTGCTCACATGGTTAACAGAGTAATTGAGTAATTGGATAAAAGCAAATGTACTGTCTCACCCTCAGAGTGAAAATGGAATTAGAAATAAATCTAAGCAAATATTACTACAAAAATCAACAACTTTTTTTATTTGATTTATATATTTAGTTATAAACATATTCAATCAGCTTTAGTTTTTCTAGTTCTTAAATTTTGGCAAGCTTTAGGCTTTTTTTTTTATTTTTTTTTTTTTTACAGATGTTAAATTGGTCTTTTATTTCCTAAATTTGTTTGAGTACATCACAGATTTGTTGTCATTTTAATGTGCATCTATAACACTGAAAATAGACCTTAGGTTTGTAATTACAGCTGTTTAGTTTTCAAATTAATGTACTAATAATCACATTAACATTGTATGTTCTGTTGGCATCTCCATTTTAAGCTTTACATGTAGTGCATCTGCAAAATATTTATCTGTTTATAACCAAAAAGATGGGAATAATGCTAGAGCCATGGTAAACATTATTTGTTTATTATAGGTTCATGTGGGAACATTGTTTGTATGTCTCTTATTGACCACTCAGCTTTGTATTATGCTTTTTGTACTGAACAGGTTTCAGAAATGCCCGTCCCCTTCATAGAGTTTACAGGCAATTCATCATTGATGTCAGTATATGAAAAATATTGGAAATATGGATTTATATCAAGCGTAAGTGTTAGTTCTGGCAGGTCACGTTAGTCAAGCTCGCATCAGCTGACTCTCAGCTGATCACCATCTACCTATAGGAATACGACACCTATCTAAGCATAAGTTTTTGGTTTTTTTTTTTTTTTTTTTTTTTTTACAGATGTTAAATTGGTCTTTTATTTCCTAAATGTGTTTGAGTACATCACAGATTTGTTGTCATTTTAATGTGCATCTATAACACTGAAAATAGACCTTAGGTTTGTAATTACAGCTGTTTAGTTTTCAAATTAATGTACTAATAATCACATTAACATTGTATGTTCTGTTGGCATCTCCATTTTAAGCTTTACATGTAGTGCATCTGCAAAATATTTATCTGTTTATAACCAAAAAGATGGGAATAATGCTAGAGCCATGGTAAACATTATTTGTTTATTATAGGTTCATGTGGGAACATTGTTTGTATGTCTCTTATTGACCACTCAGCTTTGTATTATGCTTTTTGTACTGAACAGGTTTCAGAAATGCCCGTCCCCTTCATAGAGTTTACAGGCAATTCATCATTGATGTCAGTATATGAAAAATATTGGAAATATGGATTTATATCAAGCGTTAGCGTTAGTTCTGGCAGGTCACGTTAGTCAAGCTCGCATCAGCTGACTCTCAGCTGATCCCCATCTACCTATAGGAATACGACACCTATCTAAGCATTCATATATAAGGTCCCTCAGTATTATCAGCAGTTTTCGCATTGCTCAATAGCTAATTACCCTCCTCCATCCCCAACTCCACCTCTGTCAGTCAGGATTCAGCCTTCTGATTCTCCTTTGAATCAGACTAATTCTAAATGTGTACATTGAATTTTTGAACTTTAATGATATCTGCAATACATTCATGTTGGTTCTGTTCTGTTTACCCTGGGGGGGTTATCACTCCTCTCCCTGCTCTTATCCATGCTAGGCTGCATGGATGCGCAGGGAGTTCTTGCCCAGAACAGAACCATACCGCCAATCCAAACTATGCTAATTGTCAGTCATCTTTGACGATAGTGGTCCTGACAGAACATAAGTGTTTTAATTCCTAACAGAGTTTTAAAAAGTGCTGCTTATATAGGAACCACACTGAGTGAGGAAGGGTGACTTGGCAGAGGTGCCCTCAAGACTGACCAAACTTGCTGTCCTGCAGAAGAAAGAAGAATTTAAAAGTACCTAAAATCTTATCTGAATCCCTTTTTACTATTTGTAAAGTAATGTCCATATATTACTTACTGTTAGCATGTCACCCTGTGTTTGTGGCTCTTTTTGAGGATGTAATACATGAAGCCAACCTCTCAGCCAGATAAGAAAGCCCTGAGAGCACATAAATAATACTTCACATTGCTAAACACTTAAGCAACTGTGTGCTCATATTAGCACTACTACATCTACATTTAATAGAGAAAGAAACACGGATAGAACTGTTGCATTAAAGTAAGAGTTCTAGATTTTTTAATCCTGACTACACTAAATAAATAAGCAAACAAAAACTCGGTATGCACTGGTTTCCTGTTGGAATATTTTGGATGAAATCTTAAAGGATATTATACAATCTAAAGGACGATACAATAAGTTATAGTGAGGTTTTGATATATATATGACACATCTATTAGGACTTAAACAACCAAAAAGAATTACAGGGCTTAGGGCTTTTTTTTCCATTACCTTACAGATCCTGTTCATGTAAAGTGATATGACCAGTGTCAGTTTTCTTATCCATGTATGTTCTGACTGAGACATTAACATAAATGTTTTAATCAAAATCCAAGAAAGTTCTTAGTAGTTTGTTTACATATTCATTAAATGCACACCTTAATTATCATGCGTACATAATTTAATTCAAAATCAAAATTCTGTATTTAATAATTAAGCATAAAAATAATTACACAGCAAAAGAGCTAATTTTAGGGTTAAACTTACCTCTCATAATCAGTCATAGTAACATATCTGACTCTGTCTCATCCAAATGGATCCTCTAATAATCTACTGTACCTGAGACATCCTGCAAAACACCAGACGTAAACATCTTCTGTGATCGACTATGTTGACCTGGGCTATTCCAGCACGTATCGCATCGACGTTCGATTCATGTGGACTAGGGATTGTGCTACTGCTAGTCGTTTCAGCGGAGCTGAAACAAATCGAGCATGATATATTTTCATTAGCTATAAACTTGCTACGTATTCCACAGGTTGTGGCCATTGGCAGGTAATGTATAATTTAATTAAACATTTATTTGAAATATACTTTCGCAAAGCTTCCCCATATTTGTTTATCCTGGGCTTTGGTAATGAGCTTAGCTTATGCTATTAGCTGCTTTAGCTACTAACAAAAAATAACTGCTAGAAAATAACATTTAATATATCTTATTTTATAAATCTGCTCTGATTTGGACGTTCTAGGTTAGTCATAATAATGATAATAAATAAGACAACATTGGTTTGTTTGGTAACTCAGAATTTCTGTATAACTGCATGCCTACAAAAATTACAGAGTTATTTATTTATACCTAAGTTATATTTCATGATCAAACTTTACATTTTTTTAATATTTAGTTTGATGTCTAAATTGACTAAATTATAAGTTTGAGCTTTAGTATGAATGTTGTTTTTTCCCCTTAAAAAATACTGACAAAACAATATAGATGTATGCCATCATATCAGCTATCTAAGGGTATGCATACCATGCTCATTTATTTTTATGTGTAAAGAAAGTATCCTGTATGTGCTGACAGCTCTTAGATTAATTGATTGAGATCAGTAAAAATCAATATACAGATTCCAAAGTGATGGCTTAAGATTAATTTGCCTTATACAGTCACTTTTTACATTTACTTAAAAAAAAAAAAAAAACTCTAAAAATAAACATCTGGGTGGAGAAGGAGAGATTGTGTTACTCATAATTTACAGCTGTCAGATCTTAAATTTGAATAGAGAAATGAGAGGGGTGAGCCACACTTTTTACCCACTATAGTGGATGGACTTACAGGTAGGCTATTCTTGAAAGATAGTTATTTATTTATTATCAAGTCATCCATTAAATGCCACCATTTGGTGGATTTATTTTTAAATATTCCCCTAAAACAACATTGTACTGCTGTCTTCAGTAGGAAACAATAGTGATCAATAGGTAAAGTAACTTGTTTAATTAGTAAACGTTTTTATGTAACAGGCAATCTTTCACAAGTGAGAAACATGCAGTATTTTATTGTTAACACCTAAAATACTGTTAGACATAACCCAAAACAAATATGTAAATGTGTGACTATTTAGATGTATTCATCAGGTCACTTGTGTCGGTAGTATTTTAGTAATTAGTCATTTTCAGTTGTCACTGTATTGGTATTGTTATTTAACTTGGTTTAACCATGATGACCATCTTTGTGTCATGGTGCACAATAAATTTGGGTTATACAGTTCTTCATGAAAACATCAGTATCTCATCTCACAACTCCTAGCTCATTGATCTCTATAGGAAACGTGGTATATGGACATATATAAACATTTTGAGCATTCTTGTTTCTTAGAACAACAGTCCAAATGTAATGATCAAGATTGCTCAAAGCTCCACTGGGAAGGGTTCAGATTTGTCAAAAATAATAATTAAAAATAATTGCATTTAAATTATTTTAAGTAAATTATGCAAATCCTGCATTATGTTTTTAATTGTTGTAGCCTAATGATTATGTAGTTATTATGTAAGAAACAGAAGCAATTAACAATTGCTTCTGTATAAGGCATGTTCACTCTTGTAGTTCGGGTTCGTTTTGCATTCATACTTACATTTTTTTTAAACTGACAGAACCGAAAGATACAAAACAAAAGGCATAAGGATAAGGTCACAGCCTGATTGAACAGCTTTGATGACATATTTTGTGACAGAACTTACCAAACATCCAAAACCATGCTGAGAGCGGAGTTAATTTGCTTATTGTATGTGTACATAAGGCAGCATTTTTACCAGGAATTCCTCTGTTGCACACACAAAAAATCTGCTGCAAGGAGACGGCAGTTCTGACACCTGTACTGAAATGTAACACGTTTTTGTTCATTTAGACTTCTTCTTTAGTCTATGTTACTTTCATATTTCAGTCGAACTGCACCAGTGTTCATTTCGAAGTGGACTGAGACCGATTGTGGGCCTTGATCCATTTATTTGGTGAATGAACCGCACTTGCAGAGCAATCACACCAGAGTACATTTCAACTTAACCAAACCTGCCAAGTGTAAACAAACGCTCAGTTATTTATTCTCTTAAAAAAACGAATTCTAAACATTTGCCAAACTAAGTGAGTAAGACAAGATGTCTTATATAGACGTATGTGTCCAGGAAACACTTGAATCTGCAAAAGCCAGTTTGGCAGGATCAAGCAAATCGTCCCACATCGTGACGTAGACATGTGGGGGCGTGTTAGTGCATTGTTGCTGTGGTTTATATTTTTTTATAGTGCCTTTCCAAAACCCAAGGTTGCATTACAAAAGTTAGAAAAAAAATTGACAAATAACAAACATCCATAACAAAGTACAATTCACAGACCAAAATCTTAAAAAAAAATAAAAAACCAGGAGAGAGAGTAAATTAAGTAAATTAAAACACAGTGCTTAATTGGTGTTTGCCAGGTTTCTGTGAGCAACAGCACAGTTATCATCAGAGAAAAGGTCCCGGAGAAACGTTCTTTTACAAGTTAATAAATGAATGTTAAAGGGATAGTTGCCCCCAAAAATGAAAATTTGATGTTTATCTGAAAAAAACATACACAAACAAAACCAAATTAAACCCTGCGGCTCGTGATGATACATTGATGTGTAAAGACACAAAACGATCGCTCTGTGCAAGAAACTGAACAGTAGTTAAATATCGTTTTTTACCTCTGATTTTCACCGCAATGTCTGAACTGTCCTGAGCGCCTTCGC